GCATCAGGTACTCATAAAGTATATGTATGCATGCATCACCAAAAAACAAAATTTCTTATTGATGCCATTAGGTGGAATAAAAGTTATAAAGATTTCATGACATTGATTGTTTGTTCTTTTGAAAATGCAGAATTTATGTTGCATTGATGTAACCATTGCCCTGGTTAAATTGATGAAGCAGTAAAAATTTTTTTAGTACAGGAGTTTATGGACCATGAGCTCGAAGAAGATGTAGCATTCAAACAATGGGAGAGTACCGATCGTACAACACTACTATTACAATCATTGCTACTAGATGAATTTAATGATTTTTTATGTGACAGCATTGACAATCTTATCACTCATTCATATATTGCAAAAACACAAAGTAGGTACTTGAAAAACTGTAAAGAAAATCTGAACCGAAACAAATGTTTATTTTTAGGAGATTTTGCTGAAAATTATCAATATCTTGTTCAGGATGAGGTTCAAAGTTATCACTGGAGCAAAAGTCAATGTTCACTTTTTACAATTGTACTTTATTTTATAGAGAAAAAAATTCTCAAACATAAATCTTTTTGTTACCTTTCAGAATATGTTGATCATGACACAGGATTTATTTACAAGACTCAGGAAGATATAACTAGATATATCCAAGAAAATCTACCTGATGTATCAAGTGTGAAATACTTTTGCGATGGTTGTGTAGCACAATTTGAAAATTTTAAAAATTCTATCAATCTTTGTCATCACATTAAAGACTTTGATTTAAATGCTGAATGAGTATTTTTTGCTACCAGTCATCGTAAATTCCCCTGTGATGGTATTGGTGAGACTATTAAAAAAGTAGTCAAGTAAAAATTTCAAGAAAGTCTAAAACAAGTAATTACTGGGCAGATTTTAGATGTTAATTTAATGTACTCATTTTGTAAAGCCAAGATAAATGGAATTTGTTTTAAGTTATTTTCAAAAATCAACCAAACAGGAGCACAATATTTTTTCTAAAATATCTTTTAGAAAAAAGATATTTAGGTGGAAGAGCAGTTTCTGGCACAACGATGTATCATCATTTTATTCCAATTGCTTCAAACACTATAAGTTATAAAAAAAACAAATAATGATATTTGATAATGATATTTGATATCATTCCAAAAAGCAAACATAGTAAAGTGATTTCATTAAACATTAAAAAAATGGATTATATTGCATGTTTTTATTACAGATTTTGGTGGGTAGGGATTGCTGAAGATGTAAGTGAGCTTGATATAAAAGTCAGATTCATGCATCCACATGGACCAGGTAAAAAATTCTTTTGGGCAATGAGAAATAACGAGTGTTGGGTGCTCAGTTCTGAAGTATGCCTAATTTCTAACCTACAACAATGTCAGGTCATACATACAATATATCTGATTTAGATTTGGAGAATATAAGCAGTTGGTTACAAAAAAAAATTAAATACATTTAAAATAATTTTGTTGTAATTTTATTTACCTATTTTGCATTTAAAATTTGTCTTTCTTTTTTTCTTTTTTTCAAATCCTTGGATGGAAGGCTGAGAATGAGAATCCCACTGTCCACCTTATTATGTCAATGACAATATTAGTCTTAAACTACTAAATAATGATAATAATATAAAGTAATAGTTAAAATGTTTTAAAAAACATTTCAATATCTTTGATTTTAAAATTTGTGATTTTTAAAATCATGAAAAGATCTCAGTTTTGAGTGCTTTGATGAAATAAGAGTTAAGTATTTATTGATTTGAAACAAATTGTTTCTTGAACGAAGAAAAAAATTATGTTTTTAAATTGAATTTTAATAATTTATTATTAATTCATTTTATGTATATATAAAAAAAAAAAAAATTCAGGGAAATTGAAGGGGGTGGGGGTTTTTGTTAAAAGGCCCCCTGGCAATAAATAGCACTATTTGATGTTTTATTCAAATAAATTTTTTTTAAAAACATTTCAATTACTTGCGTTACCAAATTTAAATTTTTCTAAAAAAATACAATTTTTAAACATAAATTTTAATCAAATATTAGAGACAATTGATGACTCTAATTTTTTTCAGCAAACCTAAGATAAAATATTGATACAAAATATTGATATAAACAATTAAACTTTTTACATGGGATTTTGGGCCACAGTCTTCATTTTACCTCCAAAAATCATTAATTTGCAAGTCATTAATTTTGAACAAAATTAATAACTTGTAAATTAATGATTAAAAATAAAACAAAACATTTCCTGAGACAATCAAGTCTTAAGGGTGTTATTTTTGGATTCCTTAAGTAAAAATCTCATGGGGTACCAAATTTTAGGAAATTTCCCCAAGCCATTATAAAGGTAATATATGTCAAAGTTGCTTTGTAGTCGCTTCAGATAATCACTAAAAATTCAGCTTTATTTCAACTGACAAAACCTCTAAAACCCATGTGTATTTTTAACTAAAATTTTTACGTGTAATTGACCTTATGTAAATTTAAAATTATTCTGATATTTGTTAAAAAAAATTTTTTGCTAATAAAATCTTAGACCGAAAATACTTTTTTATTGTTTTGGGTTTAGAAATGGTGCAAATAAATTTGATTTCATGGGAAATAAAAGCAAAATATATTAATGGAAATAAATAGAAATAAGTAGAAAAGCAGTATTCTTCATTTAATTACAATTTTTAAGCATTTGTTTGTAATGCTAATGTTACAAGAATATATAATAATATAACAAGTGTCATTAGTGTGGTGAAAATGCGTCATTGGGTGGTAAAAAAAATTGTTTAGACAAACATTGTCTTTTGGTTTTCACACAAGCTATCGATTTAATAACAATATTATTTATTTGATAAAAAAATTTGATAAAGAGCTATAAAAGTTTTTAATGCTTTTAAAAAATGTTTTATATTTTCTTATTGTATGAGTTTAAGAATTATTACAACAATAAAAATTGCACAATAAAAGTAAATAATACATTAAAGTAACAATATATATATATATATATATATATATATATATATATATATATATATATATATATATATATATATATATATATATATATATATATATATATATATATATATATATATATATATAACAAATTTATGAATAAATGATTTTTATAGTTTTGAAGTTGTTTTTTAACACAAATTTTTCCTTTATTTTTCATTTTTTAATTGCTAAACTAGTTTATGAACAGACAAAAATTTTATTAAAGCCAAGTTGTTTAAAACAAAATTGTTGATAATTTTTCTTTTTAAAAAAAATATTTAACACTGTAAAATAGTATGAAATTGTATTTATATGTAAATAAATGAAGCTTGTTTTGCAAAGAAGGGAACAAGTGTGCAATTCTTTTTTTTTTGATGTTTCTTTGATGATGAGAAACTGTTACATTGCTCATTGCTCACATGAAATGGTGATTTTACCTACCTTTTAAAAAAACCAAAATATTCCAGAACACAATGAATCCAGTTTTTGTGGTTTGAAGGTTTGTCATCTTATTATCAAGGGTATGGAAAAAAAATGTTTCTAACTTATAGAAATGTTATTTTGTTTTAAAATTGATATAATTGGAATTACCAGAACACATATCTCTAAAAAAAACCATTGATTTAGAACTACAAATTCCATTTTAATAAGAAATAAAATCGTGATGGCGTAAGTGTTTATATCTTAAAAAATTGAAGTTTCAATAACAGTTGATTTAAAAGGAAATGAATTTGAATATTTTAAAATTTTTATTTCTATACCAAAAGTATTCTTTTATGTGTAGAACATAGACCCCCTAGTAGATAGTTCTATGTTTCTATCAGAATCTTTCAGAGTGTTTTTAATGAAAATTAATATCAAATTTCGAAGAAATAAAAAAAAATTATAATTATTGGTGGCTTTAATTGCAATTACTTGAATAACAATTACAACAAGGATGTTAAATCCATTTTGCATATAAATGAGTTAAAGTAATTAATAAATAAATCTACAAGAGAAAATTTTACAAGAGTAACTTTAGTTAGAGTAACAGTAAGTTCTTTATTAGATTTAATTGCAGTTAACAATTCTATAAATAAAATAAAACATGTCATTCAATGTGACATTAGTGATCATGGTATAACTGGTTTTGTTTGTAAAATAAATAATTATAAATTTTTACCTAGAACTCAAAAATGTAGAAAATTCAAAAATTATTTTCCCCAAATTGTTCTGTACTGCTCTGAAAAAACATTTTGTAGAAACATTTAACTGGACGTCAATCTGCTCTAGAAACATTTAACATCAATACTTGTGTTTAAATATGAAAATGTTTTGCCATCAAATTATATGCTCCTATCATTTCAAAAAGAATCAAAGAAAAAGTCATTTGATTCCTTTTCAAAACAAATAAAAAAAGTTATCAAAAAAAATCTAACCAAGTTATCCAATTGGTTTTAAAATAATGAAATGAACATGTTGAAAAAAAGATAATGGGTAACAAAATAATTTTGTTGTTGTGATGAAACAAAATTATTTTTAATTAACGAATAACAAAACTCGAAACGCTGGTTTGTCTTTATGAATATCAAAAGTTAAATTCGAGTTCAGAAAAAAACTTTCACTTTTCAAAACAACAATTGTCAAAAAATGAATTAATTTTTAAGAAAAAGTTTCTTATATTAAAATATTAAAAAGAAAATATTAAATAGTACTAGAGGCCTTTCAGTATTGCTTGGCTTCTTTTTCCTTTATATTGTTTAATATTATATTGCTTGGTGTGTGGGTGTATCTATCTATCTATCTATCTATCTATCTATATATATATATATATATATATATATATATATATATATATATATATATATATATATATATATATATATATATATATATATATATATATATATATATATATATATATATATATATATATATATATATAAAACGAATTTATGATTATTTTAAATAATATTTATTAGTTTGTTTTTTTTTATTTTTTTTATTTTAACTTTTATTTCAATGTACTTTTATGTGTTTACATATGATTTAGGAGACAAGTACCACATCTGAATTTGGTACTTCATGCATTAAAAAAAAAAGTGATGAAGAAAAAGAACAAAAATTTTTTGTTACTAATAAATATACCCCAACTGTTCCTGGTATTTCCATTGAGAAAGTTAATGTGAATATTTCGAACAAGTTTCAAGATACTTTATCATATTCCACTAATAATTTGGAAAGCAGCAGTTTACAAGCTGTAAAAGATAATGGGTTAAGGAATAGAAATTCTGTGATAGTAAATGACACTTTAGAAGCCAAATCCTTAAACAACAATTTCAACAAATATTCATTAAATACTAACAAATTTAGCCACAGCAGCAATGAAAACTTGAATGCTTTGTCCCCAACATCACAAACATCTCAGAGTTTGAACAAATCTCTAAGCTTGAGTCAAAATAATATACAGGTTGCATCAAATTTCCAATCAAAATCTTTAAGTACAAGTCAAAACAATCTACAAGTTACACCAAATTTACCAGCAAAATCTTTAAGCTCAAGTCAAAATAATTTACAGGTTACATCAAATTTACCAGCAAAATCTTTAAGTTCAAGTCAAAATAATTTACAGGTTACATCAAATTTACAAGCAAAATCTTTAAGTCAAAACAATCTGCAAGTTGCATCGAAAAATAGATATAGTCAAAATATAAAGGAAGACTATGGCATTGAGGTAATATATTTTGATTTCCTTGTAAACCTTTGTTTTTAACTTTTAAAAAATGTTTTTTTATGGATAAATTTGATAAATAATAATTAAATTTATACCTTAATCAATTTAAAAAAAAAAGACATTTAAAAAAATGTTTCACAAATAAAGACTCGTTATTAATATTATTATTATTATATTGAATTACCAAGAAAACAAAAATTTAAATTTTTTTTACATGTCATTCAAAATGTGTTTAACTAAAGTTTCGGAGTTAGCTGATTTAAAATCAAATTATTTTTTTGGATGATTGATAATTTAAATTAAATTTTTCTTTTATTTTTGATTTTATCAATAAAAAGACATTTGAAAACCAAGTAATTTTTGTCAAATTTAAAAACAAAATCAAATAACAGAAGTATATATTTATAGAATTAATGATACAAAATATACCATGTTTCAAGTCCAGACTCAACTGCAGCCATGTTATAAGATTTTTTTATTAAGTTTTTATTTTAAAGTTTTAAAAATAATTGTGGTATTAAGTTTTTTAAACATTATTTTCTTCTATTTATAAATAAGTTGGCAATATTCTCTTCTATTAACAAATAAAACCCCACTAAAAAAAATGTAAAATAAATTACATTTAGAATTTTAAAGAGTACTTTCGACTTAAATAATAATTTTTCTACAATGATAACCAAACTTTATTGAATTCTCAAACAAGTTAAGGTACTTTAATTTCTTTATTTATTTAGAAGAAAAAAAAATTATAGGTTTTGCATAAATTGTTAAATTTTATATTATAATTATTTCTTATAAAAAATTGTGGAGTCTTATGTTTTACAGGGTTATTCAAAGTTATAAGTGCACGTATTCAAAGTGTATAAATATATATTATTATTTTTACCCTGATATTAATTAAAATGGAATGAAAAATTAGAAAAACAATAACAAATGAAACTAGAAATTTAATTATTTTGATGAAAAATTCAGAAAAACGAATATACAAATAAAAATATGATTTAAGAAATTTCTCAAGCAGCGGGTTTAAAAAGAAATTCAGTTGGGGACATAATAAAAAAAAAAGGACAATGATGTTATATTTATTCCATCAACTGAAAAAAGGAAAAAAACTTCAAAATTCAAAATCAAAAAATTCATTAAATGTGAATGTTGAACAAATGATTTTTAATATTGTCGTTTGTAATAATGCACAAATACAGAAAGAGATTCAAATAACCATTCAAAAACAACACAATCAAAATATATCACAACCTAGTACTTCAAGGAAGTTAAAAAAATTAAATTTAACATGAAAAAGACTCTCACTGATACCACATGTACGCAACACGATTGAAAGAATTAATGAAAGAGCAGGCCTTGCGATGAATAAGAACTGCGCGACGCATAAGCACGACGTGATTTTTGACGTCATTAAATTCTTTTTATTTGCTTTTCATATTTATCGACATTAACTGCACCAATTTACTTAATTACCGCAAAACTACTTTAAATCGTTTATGTAGAAATGTTATTATTTAAAAATGTTTTGGAATGTTTCGTTTTTTAAAATGTAAAAACATTTGTTTATTTTCTCGACGTTTGTCAGGTTTTGTCTATACTAAACGAATAAAAAACATTATAACTTAAATTTAAAAAAGATTATAAAATATGCCAATATTTGATTTTTTTTTTCTTAAATATGTAATTTAAAGTTTTTCAAATAGTTATTTTTTCTTTTTAAAAAGTCAGCGAGTAATAAACTGGAAATTTTAATATTGTACGATTAAAAACTGTGCAATAGCTAATATTTTTACAAGCGATTTTATATAATATTTATTTATTTTTATTTATTTTCATAAAGCGGTTGATAAGCACAATCACTCGTATTAATAAAAAACTTAAACGAATGTTTTGAATAGATTTTTAATGTTAACAAGGAATTTTATTTCTAGTAAAAAAAAATAAAATGTTAGGATAAAAATTTTTTAGGAATAAAAGAAATATTTCAGTGAAAAAATTATTCTTAAAAATTATTCGAAAAACTATTGACGTTCTATTTTTCAGCAGCTGTTCTTGAGCACGCTTCGTTGAGTTTCGGTAACTTTTAACATAAAAGCGATCGTTATTAGGGTAATTCCATGTCAATTGAGCCAGAAAATTTCAAAAATGTCACCATACATCTCAGATTTTGCTGATTTTTATACAGTTGAGAGTACTTAGTAAAACAAAAAATCCTTGAAAATTTTAGCTTCTAGCTCCAAGAGGATCATAAAATATGATCATTTTACTTTTAACTGATCTTGGCCAGGCCCCTCTTGTCCCCTCAGAAGTGTGACCTTTGTTTAAAGGTTCCAAGTCACATAGCTTTAAAAATATTTGATCTTTTGACTTAAAAATTTGTACCTGGCTATTTTCAGGGTCGAAGAATCCAATGAAATAATCAGAAATGTAAAAAAAAATTTTTAAGTACTTGTAATTATCAATTTAAATAAATTTAGGCAATTTTTTATATACCTGGTTCTGATGCTCAAGAAAGCCATGTGGCCTTGATGATATAAAAAAAAAAAATTGTACACATTATTCTATGTTTAATGATCTTTCAGAAAACATAAAAATTTTGATCTGCAAGTATATGGATTTCCATATATGGTTAACGGGGCACAGGCCCCACTATTTTGTAGCAGAATCTTGCCATACATTTTTCACTACCTTTCAGACTAGCTGGAACGATGAAAATTTTGGTATTTATGTAGTGTCAATAAATGTGCATTTTAAAATTAAAAAAGGGCCCAAGACTCTAGGGGAGGGGGCTGGGGGATGTGCCCCACTTTTTTGACCGGAATCTTGAGATGGATTTTTCAGTATCTTCCAGACAAGCGTGAGCTTTGAAACTTTCAGCATTTGTGTAGTCCTGATGAACATGCTTTAAAATAGTTTCAGGTCAGACGACTAGAAGGTCCATGGGGCTGGGGCACCAGGGACCATGCCCCACTTATTTTCTCAAAAAAAAAAAATTTTTTTTTTGTCTAAAATTTAAGATAACTTTGAAAATATTGTATTTAAATATTTTATTGCTTTATGCTTGTTCCATTTTACTTCATTATTTACAAAGTAAAATACAAAAAAAAGAAATTGTCAAGATAATGCTAAGATTAGCTTAGATGCATTGACGGTCAAAGTATACAAACGTCCATTTGTTGTTACAGGTGCATCAATTATACAAGTTATGTTGGTAATTGGAACCCAACACTCATCTACTCTAGATGGCCAGAAAAGTTTATTAAAAGGACCGTGCGGGTGCATAAATGTTACCATAACATCTTGCTCTATATTATCAACTTCATTGATCATACCAATCCAATCAAACGCATCATATTTACACATAATGAATTCACCAAATTTCAAGGCATCAATGTTAATTTGCTGATCATTTTAAGAACTTTGAATACCAGAAAAAGAAAAAATGCCTGTTATATGAACATCTTCACTTGTTCGTTTAAAGCTAATAGTATCTATAGATTCTGGTTTAAATTGATGATAGCTCCTAGTTCCAGGGATTGTTCTACTTAGCTCAAAACGTGTTTTCAAAGTGGTGCGCAATTCTGTCAGTCTTTCTTTTTCAATCTTGAAAAAAATAATCCCTTTAATATTGTTAGTACAGTAGTCAAACATTTTGTTACAATTCAATATCTGATCATTTATGGGCCTTTGTAGACTTGCATTTGTAGTTAATCGTTTTACAATGCCACCAATACCATCACATGATGACTTACCATGACTTGTAGCAAAAAATGTCCACTCTGCATCAATGTCAAAATCATTCTTATGGAGACAGATATTGTAAAGGTTTTTGTGGTTTTTATACTGTGCAGCACAACCATCAGAAAAATAAAGAATCTTTGAAATTTTAGGATGATATTCTTTTAAATAGTTAACTATTTGTGTTTGAACTTCATACACAAAACCAGTGTCATGCTCATTATCTTCTGACATGAAACAAAACGATTTTTCTTCAAGTTGGTCATTTTCGTTTAATAAATAGAGGGCAACAGGGTGCAATGTGCATTGACTTTTGCACCAATGGTAACTTTGGATTTCATCTTGAATCACAAAAGTGAAGTTTTCTGCAAAGTCAACTAAGACAATACAGCAGTTTTTTGCTAAATTTTCCTTTTGTTGCTTTAGGTATCTTGATTGACATTTTGCAATGTAGGAATGAGCTGTTAACTTGTTTATTGCCTCTGATAACATCAATTTGTATTCTTCAATAGTTGTTGTCTGATAGATCAATGTTGTTCTGTCTGTTTTCTGCCACTGATTGAATGACACCTCCTCGTCATTGTCATTATCAATTAGTTGTGCATCCAGAAACTTCTTTAAAGAAACCATACCTGGACAGTTCGAACATCGATGAACCATGCACTCGTTACTTGTCACATCACAAACAACTTTTGTCATCATATCTTTGTAAGTACATTTCATTTGTATAGCATTGGTCAAGAGTATTGCATTTTGATGGAGGGTACATACACAAACAGAATGAGTGCCTGATGCTCCAACAGTTATACACCATTTTGGTCTTAAACTGCAAAACTTAGAAAATCCAATAACTTCTTGAGGATATTTAGTATAGTGACGTTGAAATATCTTGCAGCAAAATTTCTTGACCAAGACTCGGGTGTAAATGTTAATAACTGAATTTTAGTTTTTTGGTCAGAAACAATTAACTTTTCTTTTATTTCTGCTGTTAGTTTGTCTAAATCATCACATTTACTTTTGTCAATAATTTTCATTATTCAAAAAAGATTTGACAATAATTTTTTATCAACAATATTTACCTTTGATTGTTTTTTTTTTTGATTTATGCTTGTCCAATAAATTACAACATTTTGTGTGCTTCTTTTCAAAGTGTGTACCAAAAATCTTTTCATGATGAAGGCAGATTGTTAAAATTTTATCATCTGTTATTCCAGATCTCCAAATAAATTCTTCTCTGGCATCTTCTCTATAGCAATCAA